GGGGGGGGGGGGGGGGGGGGAGCCGCAGAGCCCCTCAAGCCCTGTTGCCTCTCAGACCACCTAACTCTGGTGCAACGAAGGAGCCGCGTGTGAAGAGAAAGTTCTAGATGGACTGAATAAAAGCCCTAAAGTGAACTGGCAAGATGGATTTGGGAGTTAGGCGGGAGTCATGCACAGGAGCCTCTCTGGACTTCCCCGAGTCAAGCACGTCACTGTAGGGAGACCTCTCATTTCAGGATGTGAGTGAGACAGAAGATGGCAAGATGGAGCTCTCGTTTTATAGAAAAGCATAGCGCGATAGGATGTACCGAGTTAGGGGATGCCTGAATAGCAGTGTGTGTGTGTGCGTTGAAGGTACAGTGAGCTCCATTTACACTCCTGACAGCATCTGAGAGACCATTTAAATAGGAATGATGGGTAGACAGCGATGTTTAGACCCACACTTGGAATCCGGGTCTGAAGCAGAGAGGTAGGGGTGAAGCTGAATGCAGAAGAGCTTAGGGCCTAATGGGGGGAACGAATGAGAGGAGAAAGGGGAGCCCTCCTGCACCACTCCCCTTCAGAGAGGGAAAGGCCGGAGCTAGAATGCTTCTAAAAATGGTGTTTAATTAAATGACTCAAATATTTACCCAGTGATATTTTGAGCAAACTATTTGCTTAGAAGAATGTTTCTTCTGCAAAGGAAAAAAAAATTTTTTTTGGGGGGGGAGGAGAGGTTTTCGCTCTAGGGCACGTGCGGTCGCCAAACAGAGAGAAACATAGAGACAGAAAGTGAGGAATCACCCCCCCACCCCCGGGAAGATGGTCATGCCGCAATCCCTTCTCCTCCATTCTCCTCTTGGGATCCTGGGCACGCATGCACATGCGCCCGGCGTGAGTTTTAAGCCACCGGGTCCGGGACTCGAACCACGGTCAACTACGTGGGAGTCCAGCGACATAGCCATTACGCTAACTGCTGGTTCCCAAAGGAAAAATTTTACATTTATTCTGATCGTGTTATAATTTTGAGAGATTTTGTAGAATATCTCAACTCCTTATGCAATAGTCTTTATAAATGGAGCTTTTTGTTTTGGAAGATGCAACTGTAAAAAGAACAATAATAACCAGAAAGACACAGTCATTCTTGGCTTTAATCAAATGTGACCCTTAAGATTCTGAACATTAATTATGTATTTATCAAGAGTTCTCACCACAAGGAAAACCATTTATCTTGCTTATAAATAACTACATAGCTATGCACACACAAATGAAGTGAATGCTGGTCTAGGATAACCGAAGGGCCTAACCCTCATATCTGTTCCATGGTTTTAATTAGGAATGTTCCGGTTTATTAAATTAGGCTTTTAAGGGTGTATTATTAAAAAAAGGAGGTATTTTTTGTTAGCCTAAAATTCCTTTCAATAGTGGATTACTACTGAAGATGCAAGCATCTGGTTTTCAGTAATAAATACTGTTCCTGTAAGAAGAATACAAGGTTTCAAACATCTTTCTTTATTAAGAATGTATTTCAATTCTTCCCAAGGGAACAAAACAAACAAACAAAAAAAGAGAAAATATATGTGTGTGTGTATATGCACACATACACAGACATACACACACATGCAAACTTGTTACTTAATGTCCTTTTCCTTCCTCCCTCCTGACTCTGGGCCACACTTTCAATATGTGGGGTGCGTCCAGGTTACAGAGTAGCAGTCCAGTTAATCAATCTCTTGCCGAATGGCCTTGCCCTGGGGACAACACAAGGGAGCACCTGCTCTAAGCGCAGGTCTCCCCACACCCACAAGTCTTGCTTTACTGCTTCCGGTCTCTGAGAGGTGTTTATTCCAAGCTCATCCAGACAGTCCTCCACTCATTCTCCGTGCTGTCCTCTGGCCATGTGCTTCCAGCTGTCTCTTCTCCCACCAAAGATCCATCTTTCTTAGGGCAGGGCTGTTTCTTATTCGGAAGAGTGTGTTTTAGCTCAAGAAGCTTATGGCACTATGAGACTATTCTAAAGCTAAGTATGGTTTTGTCACAGAGTAAATAAACATAGGTTTTGCCAAAGGTTGTCAAATGCATTCTCTTTCTGAGTCTAAAATGCTAGGTGCCTTGATAGTTTGCATGCAAAGAAATGCAGCTGAGCTAAAACAGCCCAAGCTTTCATCTAGAGTGTGGGTTTGCCCTGTGCTGGGGGCCTGGGATTAGACTTCTCCGTGCTCCACTCCCCTCTCCTGGGTGCTCAATACTTGGAAAAGGTGAGGTGTGAGAGAAAAACGAGACATAGCGCTCACCTCGCGGAGCAGAGATGGGCACTCACATGCCGCCTGGGCTTCACACATCTCCAGGCTTCAGGTCACCTGAATGACTGTCAATTCTTTTGGTTCCCATGGCCTTAAAAAATATAAATTGTCGCAGTATGGAGATTTCAACTGGCCTGAAGATTTTAAGTAGGAGATGCAGTGTTTTTCTTTAGGATGAATGTAGGGGTGAGGTGGGGTGGAGTAGAGTGATGGTGGTAATTTTATCAAATAATGATCTGTGAAAATAGGGTACCGTTTTAAGTTGTAAATTTCTCAGAAAAAAAAATAATAACACTTAAGAAATGCAGTGTCGTTTGCTGGGAGAGCGCCTGAAAGAAGGCGGTTGGGATCATTTCCCTAGTCTTCAGCTAGTGAGAAGCTGCTGGCTTCTCCTGTGAAGGACTGGGGCTGTGTCTTAGGAAGAACCGAGTCTGCCAGCTCCCAGCTCCCAGCTCCCAGCTCCCAGCTCC